TTACAACATGAAAGTTGGCTATAGCAGTCAAGGACTCAAGGTATAAGACAAAGTTGGTAATGACATTGTGGAAATGTTCTTTCAATTTTACTAATTGATAGCATTGTTAAAGATGGGTTCTCTTATTTACTTTTATGAAAATGAAAATGCTAATACTTATATAAATAGAAAGTAGAGGTGTTCTAATGACTTGGAAAAATACCAATTTTTTCTCACATGTCCATAATCAATTCATAATTAGCTAAATTAGAAGAGAATTACCAAGTCTTTTTTTGCTTATCCAGACTGTACATACATGAACATTTACGACTAGTTAAAACCCTTAATTATATGCAATAAGAACAAAATGATATGATAAGAATACATGATAAATCATTAGAAACACGAATTAATAAAATAGTTTGCTTAATTAATAAGGAAAACCATCTTTAATTGTTTTAATTATTATTCATTGTAGGATTAAGAAGAATGTAAAGGTTGAAAGAAGTGATGGTAGTAGCTGCAGTGTTGATAATGTTGCAATTAAAACAGAAAGTGATTTGGGAGGATTGACAAACCAAGATGATGAAGATGATAGCGATTGTGTCCCTGATTCAGATCAAGTCAGTTATCAGTAAGTATTTTAGCTTCCATGTTATCTCACTCAACTTGCTGTTTGGGTTCATCTATAGACAGTGGTGTAAGTGGTCTAGGTCCAATAAAGGGAAGTAAGTTTTCTTCCTCATTTTTTGTTTTTTGTCTAATTCTTATTCTTGTTTAAGCTATTAGTATAAATGTCTAAAGCCATTTTTTTGTCAGTTTTTTTTGCTTTAATGGTATGGTGCTCTGGATGTGCTTTTGGAGTTTTTAGTAAATTAATTAATCTGCTAATTGGCTATGATACAGAACTAATAGAAAATTAGTGTTTATTTGAAAAGTCCCATTTATTTTTTATTACATATGATCTATGGGTTGAATTGGCTATTATGAGACATAGTAAAACTTTTGTCAATATTAAATAAATGCTAAAATCGAGTGCCCACCTTTCAAAATGAATTAATTTTGGAATGAATTCTCTTTAAAATAGCATAAATAATTGACTCGAAATAAATACAAACTTGGGGGTGGATCCCTCCAATCCAAAGTTCTGCAGCTGTCATTGATTTCCACTGCACTAAAATGAATGCTTTAGAAGAGTGATAATTAAAAGTAATAATTCAGTGTCACCTTGTGACGTACGTCTACCAATAATGTCACAAAAGTTGCCTGTTAGACAAGATTTCTCTTAATCATTACAGGGATGCACAGTGAGTTACATGCTTGTTGGCTAACCTGAATGTCCAGGGTTCAGTCATGGCATAGATTGAGATAACACCTTTAGATATTTTAACATGTCAGTGATGCAGGTTGGAGCGGGTCACATGGAGAAAGCGTCTAGTTACAGGTTGTGCATGTTAAACATCCCTCAACAGTTGGAATTCTTAAACCTCCATTCATTTAATTTGATCATTATATACTGGACTGTATGGTATGGTCTGTATTCGTTTTCAGGAATGTCTACATAGATTATGATGATCTACAAACAATAGGTGAAGGTGAAGACTGTGAATTATTGGAGAGTGACAGAGATGAAGATATAGAGATAGAGGCTGATACAATAACAGATGAAGATTCTGTTAGCAATTTATTAAAAGATCATTTGTCCATTGTTTTTGATTCACAACTCCTTGTCTTATCTAAACTTAAAATACCAGCAAAGTGTAGAAAATGTGATGGTGTTATTACAGAAGAATTGAAGCATGTAGGGTCCTCAACTCTTATTATATGGGTATGTCAATTTTGTGGTATCTTAAAGGGATGGTAAAGATGTTTTCTAAAAGTTTGTATGTGTATCTTGGACACTAATTGTATCAACTTGCACAATTCTAATTCTCAATCAGATGTCTGTTGTTCCTGCAACTTCACGCACTAAAAGTATTTGATGATGTCACTAATCACGGAGGGCCTTATGTGATAAAGCATAGTTTGAGATTAGATTAGTGACGCCATCAAACACTTAGTTTTTAATAGTGGAATTGTAGGAACCATAGATTTCTGATTGAAAATTTGAATGGTGTAAATTGATGCTTAACATTGTTCTCTATACACATTAAAATTGAGAAAATCTCTTTACAATCCCTTAAATTTGCATAAGCATTTTGAATGGCGTGAGATTTAGCAAAAAAAAGCCTTTGAAAAATTATTTTTATAAAACAGGACATCAATGGCTGCACATTGGATAAACTGCATGTATGCTCTGATTGCATTCTGTCGTAATGTCTGGTAGAGGATATTAAAGGTCTATCAATTGAGCTGCCCTGCAGGTCATGTAAATAAATTGTGCCAAATCAGTAGCCATGTTCTGTTTTTGTTACACTGTGGTGATAATAGTATGATCCATTTTAAGTCTGCTTCTTTCATTTTGGCTGATATGTTTGTTTACTATGGTTGTATCTCATGATGTTGACCTATATAGTAGTGGCTGGTGTGACGCCCAAAGCAGAGCATGCTTACTCTTTTCGAAACACCTGATGGTACTTCTCTTTGGATAGTCCACTACTATACAACTTATACACCCGATTTTGACGTCATTTGGACTGGATTCCTGCTTTTATGACAGATTTTTTTTTTTTCTCAGATGTGTACTTCAGGTCACAAAATAGAGAGATGGTGTTCTCAGCCAGTAGTTCGAAGAATAAGAGTAGGTGATTTTTTATTGGCTTCCAATATTCTGGCTTCTGGTAATAACTACAGAAAGATTGCCATGCTATTCCAGTTTATGAATATGGGATGTGTTTCTGAATCAACATTTAACAGAATACAGAAACACTACTGTTCACCAGCAATTACAAATTTTCGGTAGAGAATGGTCCAATCGTCTTGGAAAAGATCTGACTTTACATGGTAAATGATATTTTTAAACTTACAAACCATTCAGTTTCTATTTAGAAAGTCAGTAAAACATTAGTACTAACTGCTCTTCCTTGATTTTTAGCTTTTACATTTATATTTAATTAGTATTTACAATGGACATAATAATTTATCATTATCACAATTGTTCTGGCTCATCAATTTATACTCTAATGATATTTTGAATGTGTTTCATAATCAAATTTGAGATCTCGACCATTATGACTAGTCCGAAACGTCTATTCTGCCCTCTGATGGATATTTTGACAAGTTGTCAGTTGGAGTAGAAGAAAAAGGACCCTGTTAAATTTTCCACACCTCCAAAGATGCGTTTTCTCTAACATAATATTGAATTACCTTTAAGATGATTGTAAATTAGTGTTGGGCATCATCGTAACTTTCGTTTTGTTAGTATCACGTGACTCTGTGACCTTTGAACTTCCTCCACAGCTGCGCACACAGTTTAAAATGGCCAATGCTAGATCAGTTTCGCCAAAAAAAAAACTTTGATGGAATCTGAGACATGACATAAATGGTTTAG